CCTGCCGGGCTAAGCTGAAAGCTACCCTCTGGGCTCTCTTCATGTGTGCTAGTGAAGTGCATGTTAGTGTAAGTGAATGTGTGAAAGGATAGGAATAAGGTTAGTATAAGTGAATGTGCGTAAGGATACGACAAGGAAGAGGCACGAAAAATTGCTCGCGGTCCGCGGCCCGTTTGTTAGGGTACCGCTCCGACATTCGCCTGGTGTTGATCGGAGAAGCCACGTAAATATACAGTTCAGAACAGCCTGCCGCTAGAATTCTACACCTGACAATGTCTAAATTCGACCTAGCTATGTAGGTTGTGCCGAAAATATTTCCATCATCGCGAAGGGGCAACCGGGACTCGAACCCTAGAGGGACCTCCCCATGAGAGGGACGGCAGTGACATCACTTGATGCCCTGAGTCACCTCATCCAGAGCGGAACTCGAACCCACAGCCTTCCGCTCCGCTTAGCTGGACAGGGGAGATTTGACCAACGAGGCAGGCGTGATTGATTTATAATACAATAACATAACAGTTTTTACGTAAATTACCTCCGCGACAATGCGGAAATACGGCTTCGAACACCTCCCTGAGCGACATTGAATCAGAGCGCGGACGCAACTTCTGACTTGCACAACCCGGAAAGTTTCTTCCTGAGAAAACACGAGAGAGCGTGAATGCAGGCTGTCATCGAATGGAGAAAGGCCCGACTTCGTAGCTCTCTGCGACACGCCGAAGTATTTAAATGGAAATCCAATTTACTGCAGTGGAACTGCGAAAAGGACGCGCGTTGCCGGAGGGAGAACGGTTATAAAGCCCGCTTGCTTCCGCTCCGGGAACGAACACCTCGAGTGATGCGATTTCGCCTTAGCCGGGAAACACAATCTAAATAAATGAGAATAATTTCGCCCGAGGCTTTCAGCCATGAATAAGCTACGTCGTCAGCAGCGATTTCGCAGCAATAATTTCTACTTAAACGGAAGAGACGCAAAAGTATCTTATGACCTCTTCCTCCCCGCGCCAGAGCTACGCTGTCTTTTCATCCGATTTCAAACGAGCGCCACTCAGCAACTGCATCCTCTTTCTCAAAGGTCCAGCCAAAGGGCTTTCAACTATCCGGCAGAAGAAAGAACTCGGCGTTAATAGAAAGAACTAGTGCTCCATGTAACGAATGGCGAACGAAAGCTAGCCCTAGAACATGAGAAATGTGAGACGGTTGCATTCGTTTTTAAAATTTGCTAGTACGGTTCCGGTGATAATCGTAATGAATTTCGCCGAAGCATGTAAATTCTCTTACAGTCAAAGATGCTGAACTTTAAGTTTAAGATCTCAAAACTTTTAATAGTCAATGACATTAACGATTTTGTGAGCAAATAAAAGCCATAATAATTCTTCACTAATTCATAAAATTTTAAATTTTTGACAAGAAAACCGATACATTGCAATAGCTTATACAATTTTGTCGATTCGCCAACGAAAAGGATATAAAATTTTCAATAAATCAGGTTACTACAAACTTAGTTTACGTACGAATAAGACCCCTTAAAAGACACTAATCCATAACAAATCGTTATGAACTTTCCCAAACATATTTCAATGTTAACAAATTTAAACTGAAGAAACTATTTCAATAATTTTCTTCCATTACTTGGCCACTGTTGTACCTTTCAACTATTACGCGGAAAACATTTCCTCATAAGTGTTTAAACAATAATGTTTATCGTAATTGAAAACCAATTTTGTTTACGGCATTATTGCAATTGCCAACCATCGTTCCGACCCTGTAACTACCTAGCAGAACCTCGTTTGGACTATGTACTACATACAACAGTCAAAGAGCATTTATAATTTTAATAAAAAACATTAAATTAAAATATATAGGATAAATTCGCCCACACTTGAAACATCTGCGTTCAGTTTCATTGCGAAAGAATACAAAAAATTGAAAACACCATGTTCTTGAAGCTTCCACCATGCATTTCCCTTGCACACTCTATGAGCTGACGCAGCGCTCCTCCCTACCTTTTCCGCCTAGCCCTCCACCCTCCAACCCCACTTCGCTCGCCCC